AAAGAGTCAAAAAAATTTCACTCAGGGGTCTATCTGCAACAATTTAACTATATGGGGTCCATCCACAATTCGACGATAGTACAAGGGGATCTACTGCAATTAACCGTCTATTTATACATCATAGATTATATGTCATGTACGCACAATCATATACACAGAAACACATGCACAAACAAATACATAAACATATGTATGTTGCGCGCCGTGCGGAAGCGTGCTCGACAACCAAACGAGTCGGTGAGTGATGAGAGAAGAAAACCAAACCAAATCAAGAGTGCAATTCACCAAAATATGACACAAATCAAATCAAACACAAGGATTTACGTGGTTCGGCAATTGCCTACGTCCACGGGGAGAGGATGAGGAGATTTCACTATATAGAGGAGAAATACAACAGGTTACAACTCACAAAATCACTCAAATATAACCCTAATCAAAGCTCTCAACTCCCTCACAATATCTCCCTCTCAAAGTACTCAAAACAATGCTAATTCTCTCATTTTCTCTCTTTTAGAAACCCTAAAAAACGTGGTCCTATTTATAATAAAACACAATCCCAAACAAAGGAGGATTCCCAAACAAATGAGGATTCTAAAAACGAGTATGCCACACCAGGGTGTGGCGCAGACCACACCCATGACAGACAGGATAGATTCTGCCACACCAGGGTGTGGCGCAGACCACACCCATGGCAGACAGGGCAGATTCTGTCACACCCATGGCAGACACCACACCAGGGTGTGGTGGAGTCTGTTTTGGGTTTTTCTTCACGTTTTTCATAATTTCTTCGCCGTTTTCACAATTCTCCACCTCGGCGAAGTGTTCCCAACACTGAGCCGACACAAACATGAGCACCAATGTGTCGTCTCTTCAAACTTGGCTGCACCAATATGGTTGCCTACGTATCCCCTCTCCCAAAGAATCAAGCCGCCCGTAGTTCATCCAAAGGGCCGCGAACGACCTCAAACCAATAGAAGAGTTCGTAACTCTTCTCCAATATCATCAACTCTGCGGCTGATAGCACCTCCAATGGCCTCAAACACCTCCACCTGAGGTGAACCAATGGCCATATCCAAACTGCATCTATCAGCTGCATTCGAATCAGAACCCAACTCATCATCTGCACCTAAATCCAAATGATCCCTAAGCTGTGTCACCTCAGCTGGAATCCCAAATAATGCAGTATGATCTGGAGTAATCTTCACCCAATGTGGAGTAGCATCAAACTCCACCCGCTGCGATATATCTAAGGTCTGTCTAAAACTCTTCACCTGCTGAGAGTCAAATAGCTCCCTCATCGAAGCCTCAACCGAAGTGACACTACCAGACCTATCTTCCAATGGAGTTTTACCTCCAATCATAGGAGTTGACAACTCTTTAATAGGATGACCCAAATATGTCGAATCCTCGGTCCAGAAACTCTTCTGCAAACCATTGCTTGACAACAAACATCGATCCTCCTCCAGCAAGGCACGGTTCTCCAAATTTGTCACCCTATCTAGCTGCCCCAAGATTTCCTTTCCAACGAAGTGTCTCGATATGCCGTGAGCTCTGCTCCAATGCAGAAACAGGTCCATCTTGTACCTCCTATCAAAATCAGAATGGAGTACCTTCACCTTTCTGTCTATCACACACTTCTTCAATCTGTTAGATACTACTAGGACTTTCTCCAAAGGGGATTTGGTTGCAACCCAAACACGCCTAGAACAGTCACCAACAAAGAAAACCAAACGCCTATTACCTCCCAATGATGCCCCCTTGGAACGCCCCCAAACATCCACGTGAACTCCTTTAGAACGACCATTAGCACGGTGAATAGAGATGCCACACTTCACCTCGGTCTTCTTGCTCACATCAACATATTCACTGGACTTTAAATTACAGGTCTTTACACCCTCTTTCAATCTATACGAGGAATCAATACTGGAATGGCCAAGCCCCAAATACCGCAGTCTAGTAGAATCAACAGAAGTCGCCAGTTCTCCACCTGCCACTATACCTCCAGTCAAGTAATACATGTTATTCCTCCTGACGCCCTTCATCACAATTCAAGAGTCTTTCACAATCTTGAGAACTATGTCCTCAATTTGAACATTCAGACCCTCTCCAACCAAAGCTCCAATCGAGATCAAGTTCTTCCTCAAAGAATGAACATATCTCACATCATTTAACTCTCTAACAGTCCCGTCAAACATTTTTATGCGAATTCTTCCTATCCCAAGGATCTAACATGTACGGTTATCAGCCATGTACACCACACCACTATCCAGATTTTCAAAACTAGAGAACCATTCCCTTCTAGAGTACATATGATAGGTCGCACCACTATCCAATATCCATTCAGATTCCTCCGAATAGCTATCTATAGGACTGATAGAAAGCGAATAAATAGAAGAGTCAGAATTATTACCATCCGATACGATGTTTGCTTCTGATGATGGTTGCTTCCCTTTTCCCTTCTTCTTATTCTTCATCCATTCGTCGAGCTTTGGACAGTCTTTCTTCCAATGACCAGTCTCCTTGCACCAAGCACACTGATTTTTTCCAATTGTAGGATGCCCTACTCTAGACTGTGACTTTTAATTCTTTCGGTTCGGATTCTTCCCACTTGCGACCAACGCCTCTGCTACCGGCTCAACCGAAGCCTCCTTATCCTTCTTTCGAAGCTGATAATTCACAAGTGTAGCAGTGACTTCACTATACGAAAGTGATGCCTTCCCATTAATCAGAGTAAGAACGAAGGTCTCATATTCCTCGTCGGGCAAGGAACTCAATAACTGCAACGCCTTGTCCTCATCTTCAATCATGACATCCACATTCGTCAAATCTGTAAGAAGCTTTGTGTAGTGGTTCATGTGATCTCTAATGGAGGTTCCCTTCTTCAACTGGAAACGATAAAGTCTTCTCTTCAAATACAAGCGATTTTCCACACTCTTGGTCAAATACTTGCTTTCGAGAATCTCCCAAATCTTCTTTACAGAAGTCTCATTCATCACATCATATTTTAGATCTTGAGTCAAACAAGATCTAATCACACCACACGCCGTTCGATTCATCTTCTTCCAAACTTTCTCTTCAATCTCATCTGGCTTGCCATCTAACTCCAATGTATCCTCCAAATTCTGCGCGTTCAGCGCATCCAAAACCTCGCATCTCCATAATTCAAAATTGTTTGTGTCATTAAACTTCTCCACATCTATCTTCATAGAGTGGATATTCAAACTCTGAATGGTCTTCGTGCCAGAAGCACCACCCTCGACACCCGAAGCATCTTCTTTCCCTGACATCCTTTCTCAACGCACCAACGAACGAAGAATAGATCCAAAACTGAAAAGATAGAGTCTTTACTAAAAGATCTCACATTTATCACCAAACGAAGCCCTAGACGAGCCTCCAAATTGATCTACTCCTCCAAATAGCCCAAGCGTAGCCCGAGCTCTGATACCACTTGTTGCGCGCCGTGCGGAAGCGTGCTCGACAACCAAACGAGTCGGTGAGTGATAAGAGAAGAAAACCAAACCAAATCAAGAGTGCAATTCACCAAAATACGACACAAATCAAATCGAACACAAGGATTTACGTGGTTCGGCAATTGCCTATGTCCACGGGGAGAGAATGGGGAGATTTCACTATATGGAGGAGAAATACAACGGGTTACAACTCACAAAATCACTCAAATATAACCCTAACCAAAGCTCTCAACTCCCTCACAATATCTCCCTCTCAAAGTACTAAAAACAATGCTAATTCTCTCATTTTCTCTCCTTTAGAAACCCTAAAAAACGTGGTCCTATTTATAATAAAACACAATCTCAAACAAAGGAGGATTCCCAAACAAAGGAGGATTCTAAAAACGAGTCTGCCACACCAGGGTGTGGCGCAGACCACACCCATGGCAGACAGGGCAGATTCTGCCACACCAGGGTGTGGCGCAGACCACACCCATAGCAGACAGGGCAGATTCTGCCACACCCATGACTGACACCACACCAGGGTGTGGTGGAGTCTGTTTTGGGTTTTTCTTCACGTTTTTCACAATTTCTTCACCGTTTTCACAATGTATACACAAACACACATGCACAACATATACACAAAACATGCACTATAAATAGTCTGATATGTTTTTTTTGCATCACAAACGAATTGAGCAGACAGAGGAAACAAAGAACGCAGATAAGAGTCCAGCTCTGGGAATAATAACAGCAGTTAGCTTATCAGGACTTGTTGGCTGGGGATACCTCATCGGCATTACATATGCTGTAACAAACATCCCCTATCTATTAAGTTCTGAAAACGATGCTGCAGGCTATGCCATTGCTCAAGTTTTCTATCTTGCTTTCAAGAACCGATATGGAAGTGGAGTTGGGGGGATAGTTTGCTTAGGGATTGTTGCTGTTTCTCTGTTCTTTGTTGGTATCAGTGGTGTCACAAGCAATTCCAGGTTTTAATGATCGATATGAAATATTAGTTTATACTTACTGTCTCAGGTGTTTTGAGATGGTATTTCACTGTATTTTGTTTGGAATATTTTCAGGCTGGTGTATGCATTCTCTAGAGATGGAGCAATGCCATTATCATCAGTGTTGCACAGAGTGAACAAGTACGAAGTACCGATAAATGCAGTGTGGTTATCAGTGGTTGTAGCATTCTCCATGGCTTTGACGGTATTTGGATTATGTTTTATCCTAATTCAGAAAAAAATAATTATATTTGTTCTAAATTAGCTTAAATTGTCCTTTTTTCTGGGACATCTGACGCAACAAATTACATTTGTTTGCATTAATATGACAAAATCATATATGTTTATAGACTTTAGAACATATCTATTTGAAACATAAAAAATTCTATCCATGTGGAAAAAATTCTATCCATGTGGATAGACATGACCAAAGCAAGTCTGGGACTCTGGAATAAATATGTATCAGAAATAAGGATCTAAAAAATATATGATACTAATCATATAGGTAAGGTTATATTTGCTGCATTAAGAAATGTAGTTTGCCTTAAATATGTCATGTGTTAATTGCGGATAGACCCCTTGTACTATCGCCAAATTGAATTTACTACCCCTGTGGCCCTGTAGTTCTATGAATGTCGCGGATAGACCCCTGAGGAAAACTTTTTTCACCCCTTTTAGGAGGTCTATCTGTGGCAATAGATTTTCACTCAGGGGGTATATCTGCAACTGGAATTCTTTCAGAGGGTCTATTTGCAACAATAGAACTGCCTGAGTAGTAAGTTCAACTTGGCGATTGTACAACGGGGCCTTATATTGCTAGCTGTTAACAGAGAAACATATTGGGGAAGAACATAGACTTTTTCTGCTAAAAATAGAGGAACATCAGATTTATCTCTGTTATGGTTTCCCAAATACTTTCAAAAGCATTAATTTTTAGGTCTCTTAATTGCTTTTATTCACTCAAATTTCATTTTTCATGCTGATTCTGCAGTCACTAGGAAGCCTAGTAGCATTCCAAGCCATGGCATCTATAGCCACGATCGCTCTCTATATCGCTTATGGACTCCCTATCTTCTTCAGAGTAACAATAGGTCAAAAATCTTTCATCCAAGGTCCTTTCTCTCTTGGTCGGTATGGAGTTCTTATCGGTTGGCTTGCTGTTCTATGGATCGCAACTATAAGTGTTCTCTTCTCTCTACCGGTTTCATATCCTATTACGAGAGACACATTGAATTATACACCTATTGCACTTGGAGGAGTTATTATTCTTACTTTTTCTTCATGGTTTTTAAGTGCTAGGTATTGGTTCAGAGGTCCTATAAGAAACGTCGAGGTTGAGTTGTGAAAGTAATTGAAATTGTATTGACTCATGTTTGGCTTCGGTGATTATTAGTGCAATTTCAAACATCTCTCAAATTGTACACTGTTAAAATATGTCATTTGCATATGTTTATTAAATGATACTAGGAATTATAACTCAATTTACAGTTGCATTCATGTATCTAAGAGCTAGGCCATTGGTTCAATCTCTAATGTGCTCAAAAGAGACAGAAAACTGCACTCTAAAGTTCTAAACTTATTGCGTCTTCGATGCTGGTAGGACATGAAGATCTATTAAGATAACTGTAAAGATACTCATCTGTTATTCGGCGACGAGCTAAGAGAGTTAACCCCTCCTTAAATCTGTCAAACACAAAAAATTTACATGTGGTGTAAACTGAGTTACACTGTCTTAATTGGCAAATATAAACATGAGAAAAGTGCTAAGGTAACCCTTTTAGACATGTTAAAATGAGTCCTCAAATTAAATGATTTACGCCATCAGAAATTTTTTTTAAAAGGATTTACGTATCTGCCTCCATAGATGGGTTAAGAAATAACCCTCACTGTTCCGAAACACAAAAAAGTGATCACGCGAATTAAAATAAATATTACCCAACAGGCTAACCAATTTAGTCAGTAAAATCTTTTGGAGGTGTTAATCATATTTTGATACATGATTATCGGATCAAGTCTGATATCGATTCTTATCTTTTGTAATTATAATGTTTGAAAGAGTTATCCCTAAAAATTCACTGGTGAAAATATTTTTGAACATCTAGAAACTGAAATTCTGAAATTTTCAAAGGAGGGCAAAACTGTTTTCATGAAAAATTCGGACGTTTCCGTTAGAATTCTAGAACACTGACAAAGGTAGGGTTTAGCGGTGACTGATCCAGTTAATACACACATGCTAGTTCTTAAATAGCTTCAAAAATAAGCAACAAGAGTTTTAGAGGCTTCTGTGCCAGGGAGTCCATGTGGCCTTCTTCAGGCTTCTGACTTATACTTTGGTTTTATATGTGAAGGGGTACATGCAGACCAAAAGACATGCAAAAAATTTTCGTTAATTAACTTTGTTACAATCATTAGTAAATAAATTAATTTCCATCCAAGACCATTTTAACTAAAACTACGAAATTAACTATGAGAACAGTGAAGTATTTACTTACTAGGCTACTGTTATCTTTAATTTTGTAGAAAAATTCAAAGAAAGGCATGAGAATGAGCTTAAACACTTGAAAGAGTTTCACTAGCTTGTTGTGTGCCACAAGCATATGGTGCCTGTTTGAAGTTTTCTAGATGTCAACATGTATAAGTTTTAACCAAAGTGAGAATTAATTTAACAGTATGAGTTTCACTATTAGTAATTTGGAGATAAGAGTTAAAAATATTAATCCGGTAGGGGTTAGAAAAATAACTACTTGTCATTAATCTTGAAAATTTGAATGTCTGACAATATTCGAATCTGTAGGATATAGAAGAAAATTAACTATGCATCATGTTACTTATCAATAAAAGAACATATATAGAAAAGATGTCTATCATATTTAAATAGTACTACTAGAAACATTATGTTTTTCTTGTTCTTTTTCCTTTTTTTCTCCTGCTCTCTTATGAATAAAGATCCTAATCAAACTTAAACATACTTATCACATTTCAGTCTACCTCTTTTACGAATAAGCCAAACTCTAATGTTACATTTTAATTAAATGTTTTTCGAGAATTATATAACCTAGAAAATACTGGAAATTCTTTTTTTGGTAAAAATCATTCAACGTTAATTCAGACGAAAAAAGATATGAAGATTTGAAATGATATGCTCAAAATAGTAGAAATTAGTTTTATCGCATATATAGTAGCGGGTAATTATATATAAGCAGAACTCGACAAATTACAGACGCGACATAATAGTTTTATGTTTTTAGTTAGGCGAATAATAGTTGATAATCTGACATATAAGCGACAAAATGTTCGTTGGTTTAATGCGACAAATAAATGATTTACTAAGAATTAACATTTAGATATTCTTAACTGATTAACACATTCTTTTATTTTCTTCTGAAATTATATATTTCACATTGGTACTAAAGCTAATCACAAGCCACAATGCATGAATGAAATGGAAATATTTCATACAACAAATTCAAAATATAAGACCTTTTTCCATAACCAAGTGGAGAAATAATGAATATATTTTCTATAATTAAGAATCATGATATGTATCATGGTTTAAAATTTTCTTACACAAGAAAGAAAATATTGGGCATTAAACTTGCTACATTGAGGGTGAAACTCTGTTACAGACAATCTCTTTGTTGATGCTACATGCAAATAAAGTAACCATGCATGTGATACAAATTTAATTTCCCTAAACAATGTCAACGGATACATCTATGACCAAAATTTGCTAGGCTTTAGTGGCAAAATGTTAACCCGGGGTGAACCCTGTTTTCAAAAAAAGCAAAATTAACTGTAATTAGCTCACTAATGACATTTCCAAGGTGTGAAGAAAAAAGGAAGGGAGAAAGAGAGGAGAGAGGAGAGGGGGGAGAGGGGAGAGAGAAAGAGGTGATTAATGCTTTTGTTTCGAAATTAGAAAAGGCTAGTCTTCGCTTGTCTTTACTCTCCAATTCCACTGTAGAAAAGGCCGTACCGTCCTCAAGGGACTCTCAAAGGGGTCTAGCTCCTCTCCTCAATTCTCCATGGCTTCTTCAACTCCCTCCACGGTAGGACGCCATGGCAACAATGCGTGGGCTCCTTACGATATCGGAATTCTCATCATCGATGAGGACCCAACGAGCCTTTTCTTTGTTGCCACTGTGCTCCAAACTTGCTACTACAGAGGTAGCCTTCTACATTTTCAAGAAGTTTATGTGGTTTTTTCCCCTCTCAGATTGGTTCTTTTTCAAAGTATTTCTGTAAGGTTGTAGTTATTGTGATCTTAGAAATCTTGAGGACCTCCAATATCAATCTTCCATGCATTTTCATGATTGACAACTCAATTGTATATATAATATTCCTATCATTCATTAATTTACCATATTTAGTTCAAATTTTGGTTCTTAGGTTCTTCGTTTAGATGCCACCAACTTCTTGAAAACATGGTACCCTTCATCCTTATCTAGACGTAGACATGCATGTGTATAATGTGTACATGTTTCATTTAGTAAACTGTATTTAGATACAATAGACTTTAATTAACTCTTAGCTCATGATGCTAAATTAACATTTATAACTATTCATGCCGACAAAATAGACAGAGTAGAAAAATCCTATTCTAAATGTTCTTAAGAACAAAATGGAGTATTTTTCTAAAAAAAAAAAAAGAATAAAACGAAGTACAGAAACCATGTTTCCATAAAAAAAAGGAGACTACCATACATCTCTAATGTTATCATTAGAATATGGTAGTCAAGTTGGATGCACAAACGTGAATAAGGTCTTCATTCGTCACTTTCGATGTTAGATTTTATTCCTTTCTTTTGTTTAAAGGTTTTTCTATAAGATTATAGGACTTACAAGTACAGTCATCTTATGAATGTCAGGAATATCAAAATATTCCGTACAATTTCGTGTCTGATAGATTCTGTTTTGTTGATTATCATGTCATTCATTAATTCACCATATTTTGAAAATATTTGCTTGCAGATTTTCTTAAATCACCACAAACTTTTTTTAACTATCAGTGATTTTTTCGAGAAAATAATATCTTCCATCTCTTTCTAGATACACACAGACATATACCCACGTGTTCATAGATATACACACATATGCATGTATTATGTGTCATAACAGAAGTTCACAAATTTGATCTTCACAGTCCTCGCGTATGTGTTTACCTATAGGGTCTATTGCAGATGGACTTGCTCTAGTATCACTTTTTGTACTTACTACCCCTCTAGTTTTATTGTTGCAGATTGAACACCCTAAGAGAAAAAATTTGACCCTCTTACCTGTTGGATATTTTTGGTCAAAACCGTTTTCCAAAATTAAGTTTTCAAACTATGTATTTATTAACTATTGGTATTTTTCAGGTTTCCTTAGTAGCGTAGCAGAAAGTTAAAGTTTTGATATCTCAAAGGTCTTATGTTCGGCTTGCCAACGGCAATCCGAGAATTGTTTTTATTTAATTAATTTCTCATAAATTCTAGTGGGTAGTCTCGTGGGTCGTGGGCCGTGAGCCAATGGGCCGGGGACTGGAGTTAATTAGACTGAGACGTTAAGTGGCGTTTTGTTAGACGCACTTTGTACTTCGTACGAAAGCATCGAGGCTAGGTGGCTGTCACGTAGGACTGCCTCGCAGTCTGCTTCGCAGCATACAGACGAGCCTCGCGTTCACATGAGGGTGTGACCCTCGCGTTCACAAGAGGGAACGCGACTGTTTGCGGTGAAAGTTAATTTCTTCATTGCTATCGAATCTATTACAACTTTAGTCGTTACAATAAACTCGAATAAAATAAAAAAGTTAATCTTTTTATAAGATCTCCTTACACAATGAAAATAAAAAGTTTACAACTTTATCAAACAAACGCAGAGATCGTTTATCGGCCTTCTGCTTGCGTGGGATCTTTGCCTGTACCGGGGTTTATCCGTGGACCACCGTCGATCAGATCTGATTGCTGAAGAATTGGACAGAGCTTGGTCTATCCGCGAAGGGATCGAGAAAACTGTAGCTCTTATCTCGACAACAGCGAGATAATTGCTCTTCTTAGAATTACCACAACGGGATAATACTAAGGAACGGATCCGGGAAACTGTAGATCTGACGAATCTCTCTCTCTTGCGTTGAAGAACTCGATCCGATCTCTCCTCCTCCTCTCTGAAATCTGTGTACTTTAAGTCTTCAATCCGGCAGGGCTTCGCCGAGGCACGAGAATTCCCCATCTTAAAAAATGAGGGCCTGAGGCTTGTATTTATAGGCTCGGGGGAGTTTGGAGCGGTTAAAACTACCTAAAGGCCCAAATCTGCGTTGGAGATACCCTAGGGTGTCTCCACTTGAACCGAGACACCCTAGGGTGTCTCCCCTTGATCCGAGACACCCTAGGGTGTCTCGGCTTGGGCCGAGACACTCCGTTATGGTGTATATGT